AAATCAAAAATCATTAATATATATTGACAGTCCTAGTAGGAACTTAGACACTTGCAAATCAATTTAATAGCACGATTTATTAGCTAGAAAAAAAATACAAAAATATGGCAGATTCAGTGACTTTCTACACATGTCAGCGTTATCAACAAAAGAGATAATTATCTATCAATTTCTTTGTACTTTCTCGATTGAGAAAAATATTTCCTTGACTGTAAAGGAAAGGGTCTTATCGAGTTAAAATGCCGATATGTTTGTATGTTTGTATGTATTAATAATAGTACATATCATACCGATTTTTTCTGAAGCTGCTAATCTCATTGCCGCTAATAGTGGACCAAATTTTTGTAATATTCATATCTTGTTTTCTAAAATTTTTCTCTAATTGGATTCGGCTGTAATTCATTCATGTCACGAATTTTTGGCAACTATGCTTCTCAATTTTATTAATGTCAATGGCTGGTTTCAATATTTTACTATAATCAGACAAATGAAACTCCAAAATCATATATTAGCACTTCTTAACTTGCGCATCATTATTGCGAAACTTTTAGCAACATGCTTTTGGATTCGGATTGTATGCTTTTCTTTATAATTTTGCTCGACTTATAACAATTTTGCTTTATGTAGGTGTTCCTGACATGTTTGTTCGAGTTTTTTATTTCTATTAAACCATTATTTCTGACAAAAGAGAGTACAGATTCGATTTCAGTGATTCGAGAATCATGTGCTTGTCGATTAAGCGGTACTTCATGCGGTTTAAGGTGTTTCGAACAGAGCTCTACATTACAACAACGACATATATAAATATCACGTGTTTTACAGCCTTCTATAGCGCACTTTCCGTAGACAGGACAATGTCCTGATGACACCATTAGTGTATTTTTATCTAAATAGACTATGGAAGATCAAGCGACCAAAAACGGAGCCAAACTCGTCATAAAACAGAATTTTGAGCATGATTAACAACATGTTCCATATGATGACTTGCCCCTTTGTTTTCGAATAAATGTGAATAACCTTCAATGAAAAGAAATATCTCTTGAATAATAAATTGATCTCTACAGCTAAAATCCTGTGGGTTTAGTAGCGGTGATAATCAAGGGTTGTCAAATCCCGAGTGCAGTCAGATACAACTGAAAATAATGTGAAGGTTGATAAAAACTAATATTCATCTGTGATTCGTCGATTCTTGACTGAAGCTGCATCTTCACGAAGCGGTTATTCAATATGACTCTCCGAAAAAAGCCAACCTCACCTTCACAACATACGAAACTCAAAAGCATCGAACAACCCACTTTGTCCTGCAGATGTCCTCTACATCTATCAAAGATAGGTAAAAAAAGTTATCCTGTTTAAATGGAAAATACTAGTAAAAAAGAAGTAAATACAAAGTCGCTAGAATAAAAAAATTCACTTGTAACAAATGTACTCACGAGGAAGGTCACCAAGTGTTACTCAGGTTTCTTAACGGGATATACTATACTTTGTAGAGTTTGCTATATTGAGCACGAATATGAAAACCATTCTTCCCCATAGGCCTTCCTTGCAGAGTTATCCGGATTTTAAGTTATGATCAGTTGAGGTTTCGTCTATAAAGAAATTTTCTTATTTCTGCTAATATGCACTTCTAAGATTTTCTGGTTTCACAGTTATGTTCGCCACAGTCAATAATCTATCTTGATATACAAAAGTCAGATAAACTGGTAGACAACAAACTCTTAAAAGTTTATGAAAATATATATTGTTTCTGATGCTTCTCAGGCAGATTTCTCAGTGATTTTTTTACAGGTTTTAATCAAACTTTCAGAAAATTGGAGGAGGACGAAGGAGACTGTTGAAGTGCATCAAATCTTGACACCCATTCCACTTTCTTCATGAATTATGCTTAACTGATACTCCTCGGCATGAAGTGCTCCTGGTGTACATAACAAACAGCATTATACGTAGTTGAAATTGTTTAGATAATCGGTTTGCACGGCACAATAAGTTAGCCAATTGTAATTATATATAAACATAAGAAATAGTTAATAAATTTTGTAAAATTACAACAAGTAACGTTCATCTTCGATTCACTGACTCTTGACTGAAAATGCGTTTTTACAATGAAATGGTTTTAAAATGGGCGTTTTTAAAGGAGAAGAGAAACGTCAATTATTGTTTTTTTTTTCTTTATTTATATGTAAGGTTAGATTAGATCGAATGTTATATATGACCTATTGAAGGGCATATTTACAAGGATTAAGATGCTTTCACTAATATTTATTAGTGGTAGCAGTATGCTTTCACATTAATTGCAGGATGAACATATTGATTAAGCTAATCAATGTGAGAAAGTACTGGTTTCAGTAACTAATTTTGGAGCATTTTGATGCCGGTAAATTGATTGCAGTAATTAATATCGATACACATTGATTCATAACAGCATATATGAGCTCAGATTAATTACTACAATCAATCTGTTTCCACACTAATTACTTCAAGCAATGTATCGATTAAAGTAATTAATGATACAATTTAATACAAGAATTAATAATGTGTCATTATTGTCTCAGACTTCACCAATATCTTATCATCCCATGCTAAAATTTTTGATCTCTCAAAAATCACACAAGCGAAAACTTCTATCCGTCACACAATTAATACTTCAGGTGCTCTCCCGATCAATTATCGTCCATATCCCAAAATCGTCGAACAGAGACGGGAACTACAGAAGATCATACACGAAATGATGATAAACAATCAGATTTGTCCCTCAAATTCACCATGGTCATCACCCGTGATTCTGCATAAGAAAAAGTACGGTGGTATTAGATTCTTAGTCGACTATCGTAAATTGAACTCTGTTACAAAAAAGGACTCATTCCCACAACCGACAGCAGAGGAATTTTTACAAAGATTAGGCGGCAAACAATACTTTTCAAAATTAGACTTAAAATCTGGCTATTTTCAAATTCCAATCCTTAAACAAGATAAAGAAAAAACCGCATCCATTACACAAGATGAAGTCGCATTCATTAACCTTAATCACGATGAAGTCGCTTCAATAGAAGATGAGACCTTCCGATTATTGACACTCTTTTTTCTCTTTCACAGACCGCAATAGACTCTAGAGGAGAAGATCTCAACCATGATCTATGATCGAGTCTATAGAGCGTATCAGAGATTTTTCATTGGTGTAACACAGCGTAAATTGAGCGGATCTGTCGCGTCTGCGGGAATCGGGTATGGGTTCAGCTTTCTGACTGTATACTTGAACATTCATTAACAAACGTGCTTGACAAAAAGAATTCGATCGGATAAAGTTGTGCAATTTATAGGCGAACTTTTTACCTGATCAGTATTCTTCATGGGTTCAAAAGGAACGAGATGCTCTCTAACCGGTGGATCAATCAGACAACAGTAGCAATACGTGGTTTCGAATGACACACAAATTGATGTTCTGCTGAAATTATATCTGAGCTGAACGGAAATACTTCTGTTTGACGAGAGAAAAAAAAGAATCGATAAGTATCCTTTGTGTTAGATGATATAGCTCCTATGGTTTGCTTCAAGAAAATCTTGCTGACCCCACCGGTGATTTTTTTCGTCAACTTTCTCTTTCAGTAGAGGTTTCGTTAGCAGACGTGTAAATCCAGCACTACAAACAATATCATTCAATTGAAATGAATCATGTCTTGTTGCCGTCTTGACAGGTATCTGCAGTTGAAAGCCAAATAAGTTTTTAACAAAATAAGTTTGACATTGATGAATGAGGCATTCATTCAAAGGCCATTGTTTTCGATAGACTGAAAGACACATTTCGAACCATCGAAACGCTCTAGAACGTTCGTCTGTTTTGATAAAATGAATAGCCAACCATCGTCCAGTATCGGCAATAATCTTGCTGGCTTCGTCATTGGCATTATCGCTCAGAACTTCTCGATAGAGGAGAGTTAGCCTAGCTTCTTTTCTTCAGCTACCAATGTGAGATCAGGTAATTTACTGAGACGGTGCGAACTGGCAAGCGCCATTGGACGATTCGTTGGCTGATTATGCTTACTGATTAAATGGGCAAATAGATAACAGTCGGATGCCATAGTAACAAAGCCTTTTGCTCGATACATGTCTCCTACTTCTATAACACTGCCACCAATCAGAACTGGATGTTGACAACAATAGTCCTTTGTCTGGTATTCTTGGATTATTTGAGTAAATGGTGTATTTGCCAGTTCGAGATCCATATCGCAAAGACTCGCTCTACTTTGAGCTAGGTTGAGAAGTGTAATAGATAATTTTTCGGGCGAGGGACATAGAATTGTTAACGTTTCTTGACAAAGATCTGTAGCTTCTTTCTTTCTACCTTGTTGTATCAAGACTAGTACAAGATCGAGTCGAATTCGGCCGATGACAGAATCCTGTATGGATACATGACTTGTCTTATGTAAATCACATGAAAAAGGAACTTTTCGGCATCCATCAATTTATTACAACGTAGAGCGATTCGTGCCAATTCCGCTAATTTATCGATCTCGATTTCTTTATTATTTTGATCATGATAGTCATACAAAAGAAAATAATTCATTGCCGATCGAACACAATTCATGTCGACGAGAAGTGAACCAAAAAGAATATTTCGATTGATATTTTCACCGACTTGTGCTTGCTGTCAGTTGGACAGAACCATCAATAAGCTGCTCGGCGACATCACCATTCGCGATCGTTTGCAAATGAATATGATAGAAATCAGAAGCTGGATCAGGCGTTACGTTCAAAAGTGATCTATCCATTAAGAATGTCCTTTTTCTGAAAGGATATAATATGGGCAACCAAAATGATTCATATCTCTCTATCCCTCTCTCTCAGCTTCTCTTTGTGTAATTTAGAAAATCGCAAAAACGTTTAAATTTTTTCTAAAGATCGTGTGATCTATTTTGGCTTTGATAATGTACTATGTAGTGGCTCAAGTCTTGTAAGTCTTCTCTTTTCATAGTAACGGAAAAATGAACAACCTTATGCATATCCTATCTTTGATAAACGATCCCAATCCGAAAAAGAATGCCAATATTGAAGAGAACACTATCATCGGAAAGATCCAACATTGGAATATCAACACTAACATCAATTTCAAATAGAACTTTTCCAAGGAGGCTTTTGTCCAATTGTCTCTGTTGTCGATAGGGATCAGCGGGGATACCCTGACTACGGTCCCCGACCCCGACCCCGGCGGGGTGGGGCCGAGGCTGAAAAAGAAAAATTTTCGGAGTCTTAATCGGGGTCGGGGATTTAGAACATTCCCCGGTATACCCCGACAAATGCTTTTCGTTATTTTATATTAGAAGAATGTTTATTTTCACAGTTAGTAAATGGATACATAAACAAACAAAACCAGATAATCTGATCATCAAAATATAAAGCTGCTGTGACAAAAGAAAATCAAAAGGAAATGATAGAGATAATACACTCCATGTCTCTACCAAAATGTCGCCATGTGCATACGATGCTTCTCGTGGATAGAAAATTTTCGGGTTTTTCCGGGGTCGTCGGGGCCGGGGTCACGTAAAAGAAAAACTTCGGGCTTCGGGGAGGGTTTCGGGGCTACAGAATTGGACCCCGCTGATCTCTAGTTGTCGAAGATGAGCGATAATTTTGTCTGGATTCAAGTGTTCAATGAGAAAACCGACTGGTGTCAGAAGAGTGTCTTGATGATCATACAGAAACTTGATTCTTTTTTTACTCGTGATCGAACCAACAAAAATGCGGGTTTGCTTATTTGATGTGTATAACGATGCAATTTTTCTAACCAAATCGATTATGACCGATATTATGGGTGTCGATCTATTCTGTCCAGAGGTTTAATAAGATCTATTCTAATCAGCTCCATCAGTCATCAGTTTTGCAAATAGTCATCAACTATGAACAATATTCAGAAACAAATTGATTATAAATGGCTGGACATAGACAGAGAAAAATAAAGCAAAAAAATTATTTTGGTTAGAACATATAGTAAAAAACTAAATGAGAAAAGAAATTAATTTGCAATAAAATCTAATTTGATGATGGTTGAAATCAGATCTTCACATTTCTTAGCAGATTCTCTATCGTATATACGATTGGCATCTAAGATAGCTTTTTCACAATATTGTAAGGCCAAATTATAATTCTTTTTTTGAAAATAAACATTTGCTATGTTATAGTAGATAATTGCAAGACTATATTTATCTATTGAAAGATGTTTTAAGGATACCTTATTGTCTGTTTTATTTTTAATACCATCTTTAACTACGACATTTGTTTGATCTATTGTTATTATTGTTGTTTTTTCATTATTACAATTAGTCATAAAAGTTTCAGCTAATGTATAGTATTCTAATGCTCTTTGAGTATTATTATTCATACCATATACTAAACCCATATTATTATATAATACGGAACGATTTGGAATAAAATATGACGGTAAGCTATCTAAGAGATAGTTAAAAAAAATTTCAGCTTTATTATATTCATCTAATGCATTTAGAAAATTAATAAATGTTAATGGTGATAATAACTGACCAAGCTCATTTTCAAAATTCTCTTTTATTTCATTAATATTGCAATATTCTAATTCAATATACCATATTGTTTTCATAAATGATTTAATTAATTTAATAACAAAATTGTTCCTATTGAAAATAGATAAAAATTATTATCATTAGAATTTTTAATATTAGCAAATGGACGGAGACGATGTTGTCTATTAGAATTGTTGTTTGTTGATATTTCAATTTCAAATAATATCGATTCAAATATTGGAAGATATACACCATTTCCAGTCAGAGTCATTGCTGTATGATAGGATAGTGTAGCCGTAATAAATGTATTAAATGAAATATATTTACCAATATTATCATGGAAAAATTTTAAATCATCAGTAGACATTAACTGACCACGATAAACAGTTGTTGTTGTTTCCTGATAATCATCAGTTGATGATAATGTTAATAATTGTAAATGTATATTTTGAATTAAATGTCGATGCATTAATAAGTTATTGATATTTTCTATTCGTAATGATAGATTCAATATTTCAAACAGATAGTGATTGTGTATATCTAACAAAGAAGAATCACGATTGTCATAATCGTCTTTAATTGTTATTTCTAATAGCACATCAATTAAAAATTGTTTCATATAAAAATTTACGATCGTCTGAATTCATATTACAAAATGATATTTTATTATTAACTTTTAGCATACTAAATGGTGGTATATGTTGAATTTGTTTTATAAAAATAAATAAATCATTAAATAGAGTGTTTGTTAAATTTGACATTTGATTAAATATTTTTACAATTTTCTTACGATTATCAGTAGATATTTGTTTTTGAATATATCCAAATTCATTTAATAGGTAAGTGGTTTGTATACATGATAAATGTATTAAATTATCACTACCATTTGGAATGTTATTTGAATCAGAAATTAAAATTAAAAAAATCATTTGATTGTTATGATTACAAAGACATTCTTTACAGATATTGATATCATTAAATACAGTTGTATAAATATTTTTTAATTTTAATTGTTCACGTATATCACTAATATCATCTTCATTATTACAAATTAAATCAATCATAATAATATGAATAGAATTTTGATTGATTATTGATGTCAAATATATTTTTGGACTATTTAAAGTTTGCATATCAAGTCTTGATAAATGTTCATCGAGTGGTAAAATTGCTGAAAATTCTGTAATATCGTTTTCTAATGCTATAAATAAATCAGATATCGTTTGATAATAGCCACGAATTTTTGTTGATTGTTAACATTGTTGTGTTTGTTGTTCATCATAAATATAAATTGAATATATTTGTGGTTGTTTATGAATGAGAAGTATAACTGATGCAACAAAACTAGATGATATAACTGAATAAATTTGTTCATTATCAAATGATCCTATAACTGCAATATATTTGCATGGATTATTATAAGATTTTAATTTATCTTCAAGTAATTTCATTTTTGTATTATTTTTAAATCAAACAAAACATTTAAAAATAGAATAAAGTAATTTCGATTTATATTAATATTTGTAATTTTAGTCTCATTTATATCACACCAAATTTGATCTTTTAATAAAGAAGATATCTTTTACAAATATTTCATAAATCTAATTTAAAAAAGAAATGAAATACCTTTGAGTTTGATAACAGACGATATCATATCACCGATAAATATTATTTTCTTATCAATTTCAATATGAAACCAAATATATAGACGTAAATTATCTGGAGAATTAGAACTTTCTTTATGAGTAAATCTTTGAATCCGTTTCAGATATGCACCATCACCTATAGAAGAAAAAAACTGTTTATTTAAATGAAAGATTTTTTATCTTCTACTCACTTATTTTCATGGGATTTGTTCGGTCCACAAATGGTAAATTTTTAGCAAACATTAATGATTGTGAAATTGGATGTTTGTTTAAATACAGGTGACTTTTAAAATACCTTCAAAACAAACATATATATGTATATCAGTACACGGTTTTATATTTGTACAGGTTGTCTCAGTTATTTTCAAATCCTCTTATTTGGATGATAGTCTTTTTTACTACGTCATATTCTTCTACAAAAACTATGTAAAGCACGAATATCCGTAACGCGTTTAAAATGGTTCGCTTCTTATCTTTCGAATTGCACACAAAATATTTCTGTTGGTTCTTCTTTCTCTTCATCTGTTAGTCGCACGTCTGGAGTCCCTTAGGGCAGTATCCTCAGCTCGATTTTGTTCCTTATTTCTATAAAATGATCTTGCGCCATCTCGTGAATCTTCTCTCTTGTCTTTTTGCATTACGTTGCATCTGACGTAAAAAGAGATTCCTCTTGGATTATAACTTTCAGTTTTAGATTATTACAGGTTATTCACGGATGCCAGGAACTGTTTGTACTTTTCGTGATACCCTACCTTTGCGTAAATAAAATTCATTTATGCATTCACATCTCCAAAAGCCAATTTTTTCAAAAAATGCGCCTTGAAATTCTTTACAAAACAACGTTTTGAGTGTTTTATTAATAAAAGCAAAACTTAATAGCTACACAAAAAACACTGAGAAGCTCCAACATGAGCAACTTTCTCGCCAAAGAAAGTCTTTTAGTTTTATTTCTGTACTTGTTAAGATATGGAGAAATCTGAAGAGTCATTTTGCGGAGTTTAGAAAGCTGTTTCATCTATCTGTAATTAGTTCTTCCACCTTATAAACGGTTACACCTAAAATGGTTTTTCTTTTCTTCGTATTGCCAAAAAAATTATCACTTTTGCACAGCAATTTCGGTTTCGACTTTGGAGCTTCTCGGTATGCCTCGTGTAGTTATTAAGTTTTACGTTTCTTAATAAAACACTCAATATGTTTTATTGTAAAGAATTTCAGGCTGCGTTTGCTGAAAAAATTGTGAGGAAAAAGAGCTATGATCAACATAAAAGTATTCGAAAATAACTGGGACAACCAGTACATTGTACTTCGGAGTATGGACCAGTAGTTCAAAGTTTTAACTAGTGGAGCCGTCCGGTTCAATTGGTTTTCAGGCAGCTTCAGCTCTTTCTCACCTACCTGAAAGTATCGTCCTTATATTCGTTTAAACGTTTTTGTATGATCAGGTGTTGAAATGGCGTCTCCATTTGTTTTTGTTTGTAAAGATCTTCCATTTTACTTTGATAACTCAATACAGAAAGGCTCCCAATTGGTATTAGTCTGACATAATCTTCTATTCTGTTTGGATAATTCTGCTCATCGTCTGTTAGATGATATTTCTTATGTTCTTCGAAAGGAACTTTACTTTTTGTTAAATAAATGTCAGCCATTACACCATGCTCAATTTGAATCTTCTTTCGATGACGGAATACACACTTCGAACGAAAAAAACATCTTGTTATCGCCTATCTTCCGATACATATAACACAATCAAGTAAAGCACAAGTAAATAATGTTAATAATGGATTCTATCTTTATAAAACTGTTTTCTTTAGAAATGTCGTATAATAAGTAACGTAGATCTTTGGTTCACTCGTGAACAAACCCCGTTTTAGATGAATAAAATGTCAATAGCAAGGATTCTATCATGTTGTAGAGAAAGAATTTTTAAACGAAAATACGCATCTGTGATATTATGTGAAATTCTCTTTCCAGTTTTGTTACACCTTTAACAAACAGGTTTCCACCTTCGGACGTCGCGTATCTGAAATGGCTGTTAAGTCAACTAAATGATGTTCTTTCAGTCAAGAGTCTGCGGATGGAAGATGAACGCTACTTGTTATAAAATGTATTTCTGTAAATAATTGATCCCGAAAAATACTACTTATCTATTTCCCCGATTACAAAAAAGAGAAGTTAACATACGGTCTTCGTATATTATCTTATATTCAACAGCAGACACCATACACTCTCTTTTCTTACTTTCTTGCTTGATATCATTTTTCTTTTTGTGAAAACTTCCTAGAACTTGTCCGTTTTCCGAAGGAAAAGGTATAGAGT